ATTTATTCCACTAATTGCGAGGTTCAGAATGAAGCTTAAATAGGTAAAATAAAAGACATTCTTCAACACATTTTTTCCCTAATACAGAGTATTTTCAATTTGGCAGCATGTTTAAACATGTTGCTACATTTATCTATAGTAAAGCTTCATTCAGAACTTCGCAATTACTGAATAAATTAGTGGTTTTCAGTTACACTTTATACCTTTTAGTTTACAATCATTCACAATGTCTAAACAAACACAATTAAAATTAATAGAATATCACGGCAACAGCTTGTGTATTCAATTGTATAAAGAGTTGTATTCATAGAGAAAACCTAATATTTAGCTTATAAAACAATCAACTTTTTGATTTCTCACCACGGAAGATAATCAAAGACCAAAATGACTTTTCTCGCAGATTTTGAAGTATAATTAGTGGAGAAGTAAAAAGTTCGTCAACTTCTACTAATTGAAAATGTCTACCACTAATTCTCACGTTCTGAAAGCTTTACTGAAATTAAAGGAAAAAACTTCTATGCTAATTGAAAACTCACTATTTATTCATTAATAGCCGAGGTTCTGATGAAGCTGTAACTGGACCCAGATATAATCGTGAGAAGAGCAGTAGCTGTAAATCAGTAAATAATGATCAAATCTATTGTCCACAAACGCGTATTGGTTAGTTTGGCAGGATATTTTCTAATATCTATTAATTACTACACAAAAGTGTTCCTTAAGCCTATATTTCCCTAAAACATAAAAAATCTTTATGGAAGTAAAAAAATTTATTTTTATCTTCCTGTAACATGAATAACATAATGCACCCCTTTTGATCTTTAATTAATGCAGAGCAGCCATTCTCTTTTAAAAGATCTACCAGTAGAACCTAAGCAAGGGGCCCTTTTGAAGTACAAAAAGAAGCCCGCCATTAGAATCTGATAGAAAAAGTTTTCTCGGGCACGGGAGTACTTTACTCTGGGGCGAAACCTACGAATGAAACATTTTCTAAATAGTATCATCCTAAGGAAAATCCAGCGTACACTCTGCCGTAAATTGCCGCCGTCCGGGATGGAAAGCGTGTGCAGCTTTCCCGGAGAGGGAAAAAGAAAAGCCGAGTATCTGTTTTAACTATTTATAAGAGGGATTTATAGCGCAGTTTCTTCGAAAAAAGAAAAACTTTCAAATTGGACGAGGTCTCGGCTTTTCGAATCATGCTTTTTGAGAAAGACGGATAAATTTAACGCGGTTAAACTTTTCTGCTGCAATATTTGATGTTCTGATTGAATGCGGGCTACAGTAAGAAATATAATATGGTTCTGGTTTTTCATTATCTATATATTAGGCAGTTATAATTATAAATTTATTGAAGTAGAACTTTTTACGCGCGTTGGGAGTAAGAATTCAAGTTGTGAAACCGGCTTGATGACGGCAGCGAGACGGCCGTGAGGCACGAGCCATGTGCGAGCTAGCGAAAGAATAAGTGATAGCGGCAGTGTTGCCATAGCTACCCCATTCGGGATAGATCTATCCCTTTATAAAACAATTTAACCCCGTATCTCCTGATAATCTTCCCCGATGAAAATATAAGCTTGTGGCAACACTGGGTAACGATTTGTGCCATACGCGGCTAAGATAATCCACTATAGTAAACTTGATATTGTATCAACCTTGTGTACTAGGAAGTAAAAATTTTCATGCAATATTTTCATTCGATAGTTTGTAGCCCTGTGAATAACGGTCTAGGTAAAGCATCTAGCTCATTTGCCAGCTCAGAATGAATTAGAATTTAGAGGTTAGTAACTCCCATTTTCATTGGAGGACACTGTCATAATTCCTGTATTTCAAATCAATAGTCAACGAGAATAGTCGTATAATTTAATAAATTTTTTTTTTTGTTTTTTATAAATAATTGAAATTGTTTTTTTTTTTTTTTAGTTTTTTTTAATTGAACGGTAATTTCTGGTAAAGGATGGAGATAAACATTTGTGATTTTGATTAAAATTATTAAAATTTTATTAATATTGAGATGAAACATTCTGAGAATTCGAATAGTGAAATGAATAATGACAAGACAACTGACATCTGTCTAAAAAAGACAGCGATTTAGAGAGACAATTTGATCATGTAAAATTGAGAGTGACAATTTTGATTATGCAAAAGAAATATATATTCTATGAGTTTGCCTAACAATTAACATTAATTTAAAAATAAATTCCCAACATGAATAATGAACAAAATATTTAAACAAAAACAGACCACAGACCACACAAAACAAATTGTTGGTTACTAGCAGTTAGTAGTAGTCAGAGATATAGATCAACTAGTATTTTGGTTTAATGGTCACAGCTGCCAGAGGCTATCGGACCGAGTAATAGAATTATCGTTTTTTTTAATAAAAATTAAAAAACATTATAGAATTATAAAGCTAGAATATACGGTTTTATATTAACTCTATTTTATTTAAGTTTATAAAAAAACATTCGTAAAAAATATATATCCTTCAAATCCTTCAGTTTGATAGTTGTTAGTAAGAAGTTTCACATCAAATATGCGCACATAGTGTACACACAGTTTATTTTATTATAATCACAACCTATTCATATCCAGCCTGCCGACTTACGATCATTTCCATGGAGATCTGCGTGCCTACCCAGTATATTTCCTCAACTCTACTGAAGTTTCGTTAAAAAAAAAGAAAAACAAAGTCGAAAGAAAAAAAAAAGTCGAAAAAAAAGTCGAACAAAAAAGAAAATCACAATTTTTATTCTTTTTTGTTCGAAGTAATAATCAAAACTGTGACGATGAATATATATTCAAATTATCTTATCCTATTAAAGTTAAGAGCTCATACTTGGAAAGAATTTTTTGAGGTGTCTACCAACTGTTTTTTCAGAGTAGGTATAAAATGAAAAAAATATTATTGCCCATATACCCATTGCCAGGGGTCGATGGGGAAGTGGAAACCGGCCCGGGCAAAACAGGCAACCGGCCCAAATCCACAAAAACAAAATGACCATAACGAAGAAACATATATTTTATTTATTAATATATAAGTAACAGTGTTTTTCGTTCGTGCGAAAAAGCTCTTGCCTCCGATTTAAAAAAAACATTGTAATGATCAAAATTTTCGTAAAGACCAATATTGGGTCGGACATCTGAATTTTTACTACAAAATGGCTCAGTTTTACAGGGTTCTACTGCTTTATTTCCATTATCGATAACGGTAATTTGATCTTGAATAGGCTACGATTTTGAGTCACGATTTTGAGAAACTTTAAGACTTCCTGATTCATTCAGTTCAGCTGACCTGAGCTGACCCAATCCTCTGTGAAATACATTACTTTTAGCTTTTCGGGTATATACTTTCTTACACATTGTAAAAAGAAATTCTCTCTTTTCTGCTACAGCAGCAACCTCCTCGTGTACACGTGTTTTTAACTGAATGAACCGCGGTGGCCATTAAAACTGCAGGTTAGGTTATTTTTTTTTAGGTTATTGTATAGTTCTTATCACGAAACTTTTCCTCTGTACTTTTCTACATTTGGCATCTTGTATGATAATGCCATGAATCAAACGAAAAAACCCTAGGCAATACCTAGGCAGTGGATATAAATGTGTTCTGATGTAATGCTATGTTACAGTCCATAATAAGAACATTTGGATTTTCGAGACATATTAATATTTTATTATCTAATCTAGTTTAAACCTTATTTAACTCTTCTCTGCTGTCTCAGTAATTTTTTAGCAAATTCATTTTAGCAACATTTTAAACAACAATTTAGACTTAGCTTTTAGATCTCAGACTTGGCTTTTAGTCCGTCGCCAATTCAAGCCAAGCATAGATATTTTTTCTCCGTCAACCGCAGAGTTCGCGTCAAATTCGTCTACCTTTTTACAAAGGGGAGCCCGAAAAATAATGCACCGAAACCCCCCTCAGTTGTCAATCTACGCTACCGTATTCTTAGTATACATTTAGATCGAGACTATTTAAATTTACCTAATGCTATTCATTCTTTTTTTTGCTGCCAGTCAGTCATATTTATTAGTTATTAATAAAAGAATAGTGGGTAAAACTATACAGGGTGAGTCTTAAATAAGTGCAAATATTTTCAGGGGTGGTATATTTCCACCCCAGGAACACGTCTAAGAGTTTTTTTTTGTAAAAAAAAGATGTTAAAAATCGAGCATTTTCTTTTAAACTTTCCTGTATATTTTAGAAAACTTTTTAGAACTTCCTGTTCACCGCAAATTTTCCCACGGTATAGTTTCTTAATCTCTGATATTACAGTACTAAAAGAGATGCAAATGCCGAAAAATTGGGGTGGCTCAATTTTTTTAAAAATAAATCTATTTTTAAATTTCCAGACTTAATAACTCGATTGGACTTATTTGAAACTGAGATGAGATGATTTTATTGAGATCTACCAGCCCTGAAAATATTTGCACTTATAGACTCATCTTGTATAATAAAAATTTTCAAACCGAACAAAGAACAGATGATTATTAAAATTATAAGTGTCCCAGAGAAAGAAATTTTACAATAGTTATTTTACAAATTGGTGTTTATGTTTAAAAGGAACTGACGATTATACTGATGCAAATTGATTAGTTAGTTATGGATCACTAATGATCTTACGTCACTTTAGTTAGAAGATTAACCATTTAATTTGCTAATCCAATCTTTTTGAGCTCTGATCGGGACCGGCCCACCGGGAATTTTCCCGTTTTCCCATATGGCCCATCCACCCCTGCCCATTGCTATTGCCTAGAATAGCAATGGGAAAGTATTAATATGTATTAATTCAGTCAATAAATTAAAGTTTAGAAAATTGTTTCTTTCGATGCCCAATCTTTAATTTCCCAGTACAAGTTTAAATTTAGTGTCTAGAAAATTCATTACCTACGTTCCTGAATTCATTACCTACCTACATTGCTGAAATAATAAAAAAGCGGGACTTGTTAAATAAATCCTTAATCCTGAAAAAGGGTCGCCTAGACTAATAAATATTTCATTCCAGTTCCAGAAAAAGCGGAGGATAGTGGGCAGGGTCCAGTGTTACAGCATAAAAGAGAAATGTCCTGTCCCGACCTGTGACGAGCCAGTATTGATGCCCGGCCGTTGTTGCAAGACCTGTCCAGGGGATGTCGGTGAGTTTAATTTATTTTTTATTTGTTTTTCTATTCCTGGAAGCTTTATTAAAGGTGGGCAATTTATAATTCTACCCCAATATAACGGGTGTTTCTCAAAAGTGGTTAACCCCTATATCTTTTTTATTTTTTAGATAAATAAGAGATTTGGTGTGTTTATGACATAAATCAGGATTGACTGGGGTGTTTAATTAGTTTAGTTTTTCTTACTTCTTACAGTGCCATACTCTATACAGAGCGTCGGCTACCTCTCGCATGTACTTGTGATGTGTCATCAGTGTTACACAGGACCTACAGTTTGTCGCCGAATCCGAACGGCACTAGGTATTTGAGAGGCTGTACAAGGCAAATATACTCAAGGTGGTTTGCCATTGCCTTCCTTGAGATGGCGGCTCGCTGGTTGCTCTATTTAGATAAATCAATATTTTTATTTAAATAAATAAAGCGACCGTACTGGCTGAGGATCGAACCCAGTACCATCGCATCTTTCGCACCGCAGATCGATACACTATTGCTTGCCCTGCCCCATGTTGCTTGCCCTACGGCCGGTCACAGTTTAGTTCACTTCCTTTTTTACCGAAAAAGACTACAACTTTTAATTTTCATATTGTACCCTCGATATTTTTTTTACTTAATTTGGAAGAAAATTTACATTCTGAATCTGAATAGTTGGCCTAACCTAACCTAATCTGCAAACTTTTAACATCTTCGCTTAAAAGAATTAATATTTTAAGTTTCAATCTATATAGAGTGCCATGGCAGTGTTAACACTACCAATTTTTAATGAAGCAGCCTTTACAATTTACAATAAATGTGGACAATTAGACTCGATATGGCCTAATTGTCCACTCACGCCAGATTGACATTTAAAGTATAATTTTTTTAGTGAAAATGTCAAAAATGGACATGCAGACTTCATTTTCTATCGAATGAAGTAAAAAAATACCAAGGGTACTATTTAAAAATCAAGAGTTGTAGTTATTTCCGGTGAAACAGAAAGTAACAGAAAATGAGTGAATACGTCAATCAATCCTGATTTATGTCATATACTTATACACCAAATCTTGTTTTTTCCTGAAAAAATAAAAAAATATAGAGGTGAGCCACTATTGAAAAACACCCGGTATACAGCAAGTAAAAGCTGGTAATACTTAAAAAGTTAAAATAGATGCATTTTGGTGCTCTGTGTCCAAAACCATCCACTATCCAATCGATATCTGCGTTCTCGAATATTTAATTCTCCGGTGGTTTATTCATTTAAAAAATACATACCATTGTAGCTCCCATAGACGAATGTCAACCGAATTCAATTAATACTTCAAAATATAAATTATAGCTTAGATTTGATTTGAGGGAAAAAAATTGATAAATAGGGAAATAAATTTAAATTGGAATATTCGGTTTCTTGCCGAAACTTGTAATTGTTTTGAATCGCGTCTGTTTCAGGGCGTTGCTAGCGATTGCTAAGAACAACCGCAAACAAGGAAAGACAGCACTTTCTCTTGTCAAAGTCAGATTCTTCATAAGTTAAAAAAATCTTTAGAAATTACTACCGCCATCATTGAAAAAATACTCAAAAATGTTTAAAGCGTTTATTTTCTGATCCTGAGCTGTGTATTATGTAGTTGTCCTAAATATGTTTATATTCTTCTACTATTTTCAGTGTTGTGTTATTTACTAGAATGTCTATTCTTTCCACTAGTTTGTTGTACATTACTTTAGTTTTTGCTAAATTTATTTTGAGACCCACTTTATTGCTGGCTGTATTTAGTTTATTAATTTGTGCTTGTAGATCTTCGGGACTATTGGCAATTAAGACTATGTCGCCAACGAATCTTAGATGGTTAAGATATTCCCCATCCATTTTTAATTCTTTGTTGACCCAATCCAGTTGACGGAAGATTTCTTCTAATATTGCTGTAAACAGCTTTGGGGATATCGCGTCTCCCTGTCGTACTTCTTTGCCAGTTGGGAACTCTGGGTTTGTTTTATATATCATTACTCTTGCTTTGGCTTCTTTGTATATATTTGCGAGAGTTTCTATACCTTGTTTCGCTAGGGCTTCTATTATTGTCTTAGAATATATCGAGTCAAAAGCCTTCTCAAAGTCTATAAAGGGTATGGCTAGTGGAAGTTCGTTGAAGTTTCTCTAAGTGTATAGTGTATGTATGTGATCAATCGTGCTAAAGCCGCTTCTAAATGTACACGTAATATCAACGTTAAAAATTCTGTTAAAATGAGGACTGTTCCTACTTCTTTCTTCTAAAAAAACTAATATTATTACTTAATTATTATTATAACAATCGATAAGGAACAATAGCTCGCGTGGGACAGGAACATTAAGTTATGGCGGATTATAATTCAGTAAAGCTGACAACAAACTTTTAAAAACCGCTGTTGTGGTTTCGTACGAGTTGTTTTGCAACATTTAGGCGCCACTACGCTACTCAACGATATTAATTTAAACGTCAAGAACCTTTTTATTAAGCAATACACACGGTGAACCAATAAACAGCGGCAGGGGAGCACCTATTTTACATCCCGCAAAATAAACATTCGTCGAGCCTTCTCGTGTTTATATTTCAATTATTATTTGTTTATTGTTAGATTACGTGTTGAAATATGTAGTAACACGTATTAAATAGATTGATGTACGGTCGTTAATTGATTAGAGCATCATAAAAACAAGATATAAATAGGGGAAGGGAATGTGAGATGGCCTTTCTTGATAGCTCGTTTATAAATAAACATTTCTGTTGGATTTCAGCAGTTTTATTACCAACAAATTAATTTGTTTTTCATTCATCGCCTTTACATAGAGGGCACTGTTAATTTATCAAGATACAATTATTACAAATTAAAACAAAACGTATATCTAATACAACTAAAATGTATTAAGATTACTGGGTGTAACGGTTACAATTACGAAAAAAATATGAATCACATTTTAGATAAAAGTGTCTTCAATCGTCTATCACGATTTAATATATTGGCACATCATAAATAAATATAATTCAGCACTCTATAGGGGATCAAATTTTGGATTAGGCATTTTTATATTTTGTTGTCTATGTATTTTTGGAATTGAATTGTTTCAAACTTCTTAAACATAAAAATTACTTATAGGTTATAGGTACACATTTGCAAAAAATAAAACAATAACTATTTGTATACAATAATTTTTTTTCTGTTTTTGCATGGTAAAGCAGTATTAGAATGTAGACTGTTTGGGAAGGGGGATAATCACCTCGACACAGATCTATTATCTGTCCCTCTTTTTTGAGTTATAACGAGTTATAACTCTTCATACAGTTTCAGGGCTTTGAAAGCCAGTATCTGAGACGGTTCCACAGAGGCCATCTCCGACAGCCGCACCAAGGTTTATGTCACGAATGGTTGTCGTCTCGGCGCACTCAGTGATGAGGTGTTCTGGTGTTTTTCCATTTTTCCCACAGAATCTGCATTCGCCGTTGTTTTTCAGCTTCAATCTGTTCTGTTAAAAACCCCATGACAATCCGAAGATTGTTCTTACTTAAATCAAGGAAAATCTTTGATTTTTCTCGGTCGTAAGTTCTGAGAAACCTCTTCGAGTGTCTTAGACCGGGTTGGACGATTCCCATTCCAGTTTACGGATGGAGTCTTCCAGATTCTTGAGTTCTGGTTTAAGTTGGCTACCACTTGGGAAGCAGAACGGTTCTGGTCCAGTTAGTAGAGCGTTCGCTTCTTTTCTAGCTAGATCGTTTGCTTCTTCATTGTCTTCTTTCCCTTTGTGGCCCCAGTCACCCAGAGTAGGAGGACGTTATTATGTTTGCTTTAAGGGACTTTACTATTTATTATATTGGACTTGATTATTGTGGTGAGCAGTCGTCTGTGTCGTTTTGGAAATATATTTTTTTCTATCCCTTGGTGAATCGGCAAAAGCAGTATTAGGTACTAAGAAAATGTATAAAGAGTAAGTAACAAGAGTAATTCAGCAAAAAAATGTTATACAGTACCTATCAGCTATGAATATGATTTTAAAATTGAATTTTTTTAAAACATTCACAACATTAATATAAGTTTTTCAAATATTTATTCAACATTATGTGTTAAAAAACAACCCATAGACAGACGTAAGTATCAAGTAACCATTACCAGGACATGACGAAATGAAAATAAAATACAGTTTTATAAGTACTGCCTTTTTAATTTATTTTTAATTACATACACATGATATGATTGTTATTTGTTTCATTATACCTACTAGGTATTGATATAACATCAGATGATCGATATTTTGCAATGGATCTTATTTTCCCTTACGTAAAATAAAAATATAAATAGCTATTATATTTAGAACTGATAATTTACTCCATGACGCTTGATTTTTTATAACGGAATTATCTAAAACAATACTACATTTTTATCGACTTATCTTAACTGATAACGCAACCTTATGTCCTCTAATGCACTTATGCAGTCTACACGTACGTCCTTGCAAAATATCACAATTATTTGTTTGCGTTCGCAAGACCAGTATGTACGTTTATATAATAATGAAAGCTTTGCCAAAGTAAAATATTCTGCTAAAGAATTTAAGAACTTATACATAGTTAGAAATAGCTTTATGAACGAAAAATACCTACGTATTTATATTACTTGGATCTTGATCCTGAGTAACCTGATCTTGTAAATAATCCTGTGTGTCAACAAGTACTTATCTGTATTATCTAAAATTATTTAAGTGATGCATATTAGTTCATCAACATTTTGATCCACCCATGTCGAGATTGGTTATTAGGGGAGAAACTTTGAAACTACTGAAACCATTTATTTCGCTCGCTTGCTGGTACCTTCAAAATTGCGTTTTTGAAGGCGCTGACTGCATCTTCTGGGGATTGGAACCTTTGAACGCGCAGTTCAAGCTTAATTTTTGGATAAGTAAAAAAGTCGTTAGAACTTAGGTCGGGACTATGTGGAGGATGGTCCAACAATTCGATGTTTTCTTGCTTTAAAAACTC